CAGATGTGAGTTGCCATGTAGGGGCTCTGTAAGAGTAGCAAGTGCTCTTAACTGCCGAGTCACGTCCCCAGCCCTCCCACCCATTTTTATGCATTTTTTTTCAATTACCTCTCCCAGGTCTCTGTCTTACTTTGAATTTAGCCTTCCTTTGATATGCCTTCATTATACCATCTGAAGGCATGCTGTGTTCCCCAGCAGGGAAAGTGTGATGGTAACATTGCATTCTCTCTGAGTGACATCTCCTGGTCTTAAGTTCGTGCACCTTTTTTTCTTGTGCTTCTTTCCTGGATCACGTTATCTCTGCACCAGCTCTGACCATTCTCAGAAGGGGTGCTCCAGCACCCACATGCAAAGCCCTTTCTTTCATGGGCCCCTTTCCCAGCCCTCTTTCTAACCAGTGCAGCAACAATTGCAATGGAGGCTAAACATTTGGATCTTAAACCTTCACACAGCAAACTGCTAAGTAACACAGGGCCCATCTTCCTCCCTTGATAGACTTTTATGACAAAATAAAAATAGGTGTAAAATATGTGGTAAGATAGATGACTAGCTATAACTTATGGTGCACATCTGGATGCATTTTTGATAGGCCAGTTAAGTAAAATCATACATAATATATTTACTTCACAAGAGTTAATTTTCTTGCCTTAAGTAAATTACTAATTATTTTGAAATCAAGATTTTTTTACTAACTGGTATTTTATCAAGAGTAATGACAAATTAGGCATCTTATCTAGGGACACTGATTCTTTGGATGATTTTCACTAATTCCAAAATGGAGAAACTATATTTTTCTGACATCAAAGCAAATGCAATTGTGAATTAAATTGTTAAAGCAATGCTTAGATCAGAAATGAACCATGGATTTAACATAAATTCATGTTTTTTGAAAGTCAATACAAACATTTTAAATTTATCCTAATTTATAGTTTTTAATGTTGTTTTTGTTAATCACTAAGGATTAAAACATTTTTCTGTCTATAAAAATAGTAAGTGCTTTTCAGGGGTCCTTGCAAGTGTCATGGCAAGCAGGGAAATGAACCTTGAAGAGATGAAAATACAAACTAGGTTCATCCCAATTTAGTCAGTCTGGATCAAACTTCGAAAGAGTCTGATGCCCGGTGGCTTATTATAAGCATATTTAAACACAGTGTAACTTGGAAAAAGGTTTCCAGGAAACAATCCTTCCAGTTCCAGGTGCACAGTAAAGCTTACGGCATGACTGCATAGAGACCCCTTTGCAAAGTATTTGTGACCATGAAGATGGGCTTTATCGCTTAGGGTCTGAGGTCTGGTGTGGTCTCTGACAGAGACACCATAGAGGTCAGCAGGCTATAAAGTACATGTGACATATTCCCTAAGGATGGGTTCTCATAACTGGAGTTAAATATAAAGGTCTAGGGAAGTAAAGTCTGGGATTTGGGTGAGGCCTGTCTCTACAACTAGCAAAAGGTCACCAGGTTGTAAGCAACATCCACTCCTAGCTTCCTGGGTGCAGTGCAGGTATTTTATCTCCTTCATTGAGGAGACAATTATGTGTGTAACATTCCTGGTTTCCCTAGTGCTCTGTAGAGGAAAGGACCTTTGTGGCTCCAACAGTGCTTGTTATAGAGACAAAACAAACTAACTAACTTAAGTAACTAAATGGTGTTTTCTTTACATTTACCCATCTTTAGCTACTCTGTGGGTTCTTCTGTCTTTTACCCTTCTCCACCCCATTTTATTTTTCCACCCTTTTAATCTCCTAACACTAGATAAGAAAGAGTGGATAGAGAAGAAAGGAAAGCGAACCCTGAATAAAGTCAGGGGTCCTGCTGATGATTGGTATTGAGTTCCTTGGGGCAAGTTTGATCTTCCCCATCAGAATATCTCCAGTTTCTTTTTCTTCTTTGCACATGACTACTTAACCTTGATCAACAACAATCAACAATAACCAGCAGCCAACAAACAACCCGCTCTGCCTCTTGGGGCCCTAGCATTAACATACTGTGAGCTGCCTGCTTCTGGGTTGTCTAGTAATCTATGATGTCATCATGTGTTGCCCACCAGGTGTTCGGCAGACACGGTTCAGCTGTGCACACACAAGCTATAAGAGGACCAAGCCGACACTTTGCCTCTCTTTTACTCTATCTTGCTTTCTTTCCTGGGGTCCCCACCATGTCTCTCTCTTTCTTTTTCCTCTCTATCTCTCCACCATACAAAAAATCTTTTTTATATAGTATCTATTGTGTGTGTGGCATCATTTTAAAATAAATACTAACATATAACCCTGAAAAAATCCCCAGAATGCAAAATGTCACAGAGTTGCAGAAACTATCTGCAGCTAGCAAAAATCATGTCCCTGCGAGAGCAGACCATAGATCAGCTGCCATGGACAGTCTGAAGCTCCCCCCATCCGCACCTGGGATTAAAACAAAAAACATATTTTTAAAACATTTCCGTGTTTTTAAAAGAAACAAAAACTCCAAAAATGTCATTACATACAGATTTAAAAATATTTTTTACAGGCATATTCTTAATGTTTTAATAAAACTCACATCCTAGAAACAGAAACAAATAAACAAAAAATAAAAATAAAAAAGGTTAACTTCTGGGACTATGGAAGGGTATAGTAATTATTAACTCAGGTCAGCATTCTTGATATTGCTGTTAACTGTCTCTAAATACAGAACAAACCAACAATGTTTTTAAGTTCTTTAGAGTCACAGAACTTTTGGAATGAATCCCCTCCCCCTTCTCTCTAAACACACACACACACACACACACACACACACACACACACACACACACACACAC